TGAACATTGTATCACCTAAGTCAGTCATAAAAAGTTAATTAGGCTGAGTCAAACTAAGCCTACTTGAGCATGCTGTTTTCATATTGAGCCAAGTTTAGCTTTGAAAGCCCAGATGAGTCAAAGTATAGCCAAATCTAATTAGACATGATTGATCATTGTATATATCCCTTCGTTTAGCAGAGTATAATTTGTCTAAATAAGGCCAGCCTGATCATAGTGAAGTTCTTTATATGCCCACAAAAGCCAAGCTCAGGAAGACCCTAAGTACTCCTTACCAACCTCATGAGCTCACTTAGGTCTAGTAATGTTGAAGGGACACAGATGTCTCAATAAGCAACATTTCCCAATGAAGCTTAACTAGGCATAATTTTCATAATTCCGTGACACCGAGTCCCTCGCGTGGGCAAAGTCTGATGTCCCAATTAGCCATATTTATCACCAGTCTTAGTTCCAATAAGATACAATTTAGCTAACAGGCTCCACTTGGTCAGGAGCAATTAGTATCATTCTGAGCTTGGATTCTCAGAACTCATAAAGAATGCGACATCAATTACTTGAAATATTTGGGCTTAAATATATATGGCTTAACTTGGCATAATTGTGGTCTGATTAGTTGGATGATGAAATGATCAGCCGTGCTAAATTACATTACCCTATATATACATTGGCAGCTCCTAATTAGCTTGGTTATGCATCAGTGTTATGTCATAAGAAACACCATTATCTTGGGCATGTTGAGTTAATTTCATGCTCATAATTCATGCATAGTCAATATTCATCACAATTGCACTAATTAGACCAAAATGAGCCTAATCAGTATCCAATCAGTATGAAGCCGGAAGTCGGCCATATTGACTAGGCAAGTTCTCCTCTCTTGTTTACATATGAATGCGAAGCAGAAGGCGCGACTCCCTCTCCGGCTCAGAAAGCACGTGGGCTGCGCAGCGCGTGTGTCGTGACGATCCGAAACTAATGGAACTGGGCTTATCACTCTGAGCCAGCGGGACATCTTCAGCGAAATGATTTCGTCCGAGTATTTAAAGCGAGTAACAGCTCACCGACAACGAAGCAAGTACACGAGAACGTGCGCTAGATGCACTGACAAGGGCGAGTGCTTCCACGTCATTAATTCAGCAACTGCACAAACAACACGATCGGTCGTGCGCCTTCTACGGTTGCATTCCGCTAAGCGGCCGACGCAGCGTCCGGCCACTGTGTCTGTGTTCTGCGTGAAACTCACCGGCGTCAGCATTCTTGAGCACGGTACGTGCTAGTGACAGTTGAGCGCGGTTGCTGTTACGTTGAGATTACGTGCAATGCTGGTGGAAAGAGTACCAAGCGGAACAGAAAAGGTGTTTAAATACGCACATGCAAGTTGTTACTGTACACACACAATACGAAACTACGTATGTGCACATGGTCCTCATGGCGTCTTGCTGGGCTCAACAGCGTCGTCCGTTGTCACAAGCAGGAGCACTGCTCAACCGTCACTGACCTGCAAGACGTTCGTCGTCATTCAGCTTCGTCATGGTGCCCAACGCAATTCCGCTGAACACTAACTGCTTCATCCGCTGCACGACACATGGATATGCACTTTTTCTACGCACTGTTGAAAGCCCGTGATGGACAAAGGGATTTGTAAACGTTGCTAAGAGTAATGTAACTGCCAGGAGAATACTGCGTAACCAATAACGCGGCGCAGAGCACAGATATTGTCCGCCACGGCTCAGCACGAGACCTGGGGAGGCACACATTCCGCCGCCAGCCGCTCACTGCTAGACCAGCTCCACTGCGCAACACGTAACCATAGCAACGCCACCATTGTGTCTAGTGAATATGGCCGCCTTGATGTCATTTCCGCCACACTTTTCACGCCCCAGGCCTCCGCGCCGGCTGGGCATGCCGTCTCATACCTTTCCTTCCTCCCTGGGAGCAGCCATGTTTGCTGACGACATCACGCACGAACCAATGAGCGCGCAGCTTCCGAAAGCCTCGTAAGAGCGCCTGGCACAGTGCATTGTGTGTGTGTGTGTGGGGGGGGGGTCTATCCGCTCGCCTTTGTAAACTCGCCACCGGGTTAACCGAAACACTGCCCACGAACACACAAAAACGCAATGACTACTCCGGAAATAAAGCCAACACGAGTAGCAATGCTGCATGCTAAGGCACACGGTCATGCGTGTTGTGCAGGTGTCTCGCCGATTATTTCGACCGTAGTCATTTTTAGCAATACGGCCAGCATTCAAATAATGTGGATACATCCGCGTCACCTTAATACGTTAGTACGGCTATATATAATGCCACTTTCCTAAGACATAATACATTCTTAAGGTTTCCCGCCCAAAATGATAATGCGGCGACTCGAAATGAGAAACAATAGTGCATGAGAATCTGATGACGCGCATGTTGTTCATGAGAGCAAAAAACATGCCTGATTAGGATGATGACAAAGAAAGAAAACAACGGCCGTACTTCACCTAGGAGAGTTGGCTACTTGACGGTCAGTGCACGCATGTGGGATAGCATGCCGTACATTGCATGCGTTTCGACGTTCCGCGCGGTTATCACGACATCACTCGTCACTGACCACTCACATGTCCTCTTTCGCGAGTTTGTTCAGCGATGTAAAAGGAATCTGTGGAACTTCGAAGACATAGTTGCCGCTTGAATGACGCCAAACATAAGTTGCGGGCCAGAAAATTGAAAGCTGGCGTTTACGAGCATCTCAGTGAAGAAAAAAACACACACAAGAGCAAGCGCGCCCGATCGCGCGCTTTCTAGGGTGCCTCGATGCGCGCGCCCCCACTTACGCTTTCTGCATCGTGCTGCAGTTCTTGAAGTTTTGTGCAAGGGTGTTGACAAAGCTAGTACTTGTTATTTTCGTATTTGTGTGATCGTACGCAACATTTTTATCTGTGCTGATTCCCGGCTAATTGGCGCAACACTCGCAATAAACGATACAAACCTTACTCGATTGTCGTTGTTTTTGCCAGTCGAGGCCAGTTAGGTCACCTGGCGATAATTACACACGCGAACCGTGATTTAGCAAGGAGGAAGAACAACATACCAGGGGAAGCGAGCAGCACGAACCAGCAACAAGCTCCTCAACTGCAGAAAAAATTGCGTCTGTTTAATGATAATGATAGTACTTCTAGTGCCTTCTCGCCTTTATGGTGTTGCAGTTTGGTACGCCACCACAACCTATTTGCCTTACGGTATTGTAGTTAAGTATGCTGCCGACACCTATTTGCATGTAATTTTGATACAACAGCTCAAAGGTACAGTTTCTGTTCCCTAAGCTGGTAGGTGTTCAGTGAGCGCGCACTCCATCCGTCGCCTACGAAAAGCGGGGTTTTTGAAAAAGAGTAGGCCCATACGTCACATACATAGGGTGGTCCGCGTTTACAAGGGTGATACCACAATCAGTTATCAATTTTAATTTTTTTTCTAAAAACAAATGACTTACGGTTGTATAACTTGGCAGATATCACCACGGTGCCGAGGAGAACACATGTTCGAAGTTTTATTGAAATCGGTGAATATCGAAAAATCGCAGTTCCCTCTTAGTTAAAATTATTCATGAGTGTCTGGGCAAAATAAACCACCTTAGCTTTGGCAGGACTGTCATTACTATTTAAAAACATCCTCATCTCGGTATGGTCGAAAATGCACCGGAGCTCTCATCTAAAGGCTAACTTCGGCGATTTTTTTACCATGCCAGGATATGGTTGCTTCGTGTTCCTGAGACACTCTTGTCATGCGCCCAATAGCCGAAATTTCTAACAAATTCGAGAATAATTTTTGAAAGTGTTTAAAAGCTGCTTTTTGAGGTTCCGCTACGTCCATAAATGGATCGACCTGTCCAAGTCTGTTCGTTTATGCATGGCCATAGGTTTCAAAGGGACACTAAAGTCAAATAATAATTTATGTCAGAGTGAAAGCTGAATGTGTGACAACATCTAAAGCAACAATATTATCAACAGCAGTGCACTATTTACCAAGAAATTAAGGTAAATGCACAAGAATACATGCGCTGCAGTAGGACTACAGTGTACTATAATATTCTAGTACACTAGAGAAGGACAATATCAAAATGATACCGATGAGATCAGACCAACCACCTAGAATAGCTTCACTAAATAAAAAACCTTTTGTGCATCAAGAAACGTAATGAAATGCTGCTTGTTCGTTTCTGCTTGATTCACTGGAAAAAAAAAAAGACCGCCCGATGGAACTATGGGTAACGGCGCGAAGTAGTTCAAAAGTTCACAGAGAGAATAAAACATTTATTTGTGACCGAGGACGGCATGTCAGGTGAGTGGGATCCTTAGTCTGGGATCCCATAGGCACGGGCCTGCTGTCCTCAGCTCGTCTCACGAGGGCCTCTTGGGTCTTCGGATCCGAGCTGGACCGAGCTGCCTCCTACCCTACGGTGTTGTACCGTGCTCTGGGTTGTAGAGGTGAATTGTGTAGGCATTTTCATACCATGTAGTACAGGCTGGCTGTTTTAATGACCCAAAACCTGCACTGTGGGGCATATGTGTCAGGATCTATCTTGGACAGTATGTATGAATTGGGGTAAGACAAGGTCTGCAGGCGACGCCACGCTACCTCAGATTCTTTACTGAGCTTTCGCCCCGGGGGCGGAAGTTTCCGTTTTTCGAGTCTTTGATATTTCAGAATATCTGTCCATGTTAGGAGCGGGTCCATACGCATAGCCCAGGGTGGATGTGATATGCCGGGGTCGGAGGTCGGGAAAAGTAATTCTCGGGCCGAGGCATGGGCGAGCTCATTGCCTCCAACTCCGCAGTTGCCGGGTATCCATATCAGCTGTTTCCATTCACCTTCTGAGCATGAGGACGAGAGTTGTGTAAGAAGTCGATGTACAATGAGGCCAATGTAGCCTTTACAAAAATTTCAATAAGCAGCTTTTGAATCTGTTAGAATGAAGGTGGACCTTGGGTTTCGTAGGGCGAGGGCGATTCCTGCTTCCTCCATACTATTTGTGTCTGTGTCCTGGGCTGATATAATATTCACCTGTTTTTCACAACGAATGACGCTTACTGTGTATTTGCCGTTCACTGGTCCAGCTGCATCAACAAAGAAGGCACCCTTAGTATCCGAGTAGTTGTCGTGAACTTTTGCCGGTGCCTGACGTCGATGTTGGTGAAACTGAGGATGCATGTTGCGTGGTAGTGGTTCGATGATCAACTTCTGCCTCCATTCAAGTGGGATACGTTGTTTTCCCCTTCTCTCAGTGGGGGCTTCGATGCCAAGTTCTGATAGTGTTTTCCGTCCCGTTTTAGTGATGGCGAGGCGCATGACTTGATTCATGCGGTGTGCATGGAATAGCTCTGCTACGGTACTGTGGAGCTTTGAAGCAGACGTTCCGTGAGGGTCCACGGGGGAAGGTTCAGAGCCTTCGTGAGAGTTACAAGTATGACTCTGTCTATATTGTACTCGTCTGCTTTCAAGACCCTTAGGTAAGGAAAGCTATAGGTTATGCGACTGATAACAAATGCCTGAATCAGTCGTATTATGTTGTTTTCATCCCTCGTGGTCGGTTAGCCACCCGATTACTCATGCGAGAGATTTGTAGGCAGGACGCGTTTAATTTATGTAAAGATAATGAGTTGTTCCCTTATTATTGAAGTGGGCCCTAGAATTTAGATTGTTTCAACCTCTTTAATTTGCATCCCATTGAGTTGTACGTCGAGGGATGTATTGTCAGATGCTTTATTTTTATATACTAGGATTTCTGATTTGGCGGGGGAGCACTCCAGACCACTCTTGCGTCCTATCTTTTCTACGATGGAGGCGGCCTGTTGAAGGCTTCTTCTATCTGATTCAAGTTAGCAGACCGGCTCCAGATTGTGACGACATCAGCATATATGGCGTGGTGTGCTTGTGAAATTTCATTTAGGGCCTCCGGGAGACGCATGAGGGCGATATTGAAGAGGAGCGGGGAAAGGACAGCCCCTTGGGGAGTACCGAATTCACCCATAGTGATGGGTTGAGATTTAGGGTCCCCTATGCGAATAGTGACTTGTCTGTCTGTGAGGAAGTCCCACACATATGCATATAATTTTGGACCGCACTTGAATTCCCGTAAATTTTCCAAGAAAGTGAAGTGCCGGACATTGTCCAAGGCACCCTTGAAATCAATTGCAAAATTCAAATTTCGCGTGGACAGGTCATGCCATCTAGCAGGGCGAAGTTGAACCAAAACTCGTGTGCCAACTTGAAGCCAATGACAGGAAGTTGAGCAATGGCCCGTACTTGCTGTTGTGGCTCCTACTGCTTTCGTTCTGTCTACTAGTGGCGGAGACCACGCAGTAAATCCAGGAGACGTTGTGCATGGCAACGGTGACGCGAGTTGGTCCGCTTCTCGAGGCGGGTAAATTTAAGTTCGCTAACCCAATGCGGGCCACTAAAACATGATTTTATTTCAAAATAAGCCCTTCCTTGGCACAAAAGTAACACTACGAGGTTTGTGTACTGCTATTTCAACAATTAACGTCGACTTAATAGTTCTTTAAAGGTGGAACTTTAAGGGTCCCCCAAGAGTTTTTCAACATGCGTTGCAGATTCATTACCACACACTTACTTTGGGTGAAGGTGTGGTCACAAAAATAGATCATCTTGGTACCTATAGTTGCTCTGCTCAGAAGAACAAAATAAGGCTAGTGTGTCAATGAGTGACAAATGTACGTTTAGTGCCATCAATTGCTGGTGAACCAAAACAAAAATGATACTGTTGCATTAAGCCAACTGCTAAATTATACTTAATGAGAGACAACAATGATAGACACCCTGAGCTAAGGAAAACAACATAATATAGTTTAAAAGAAACTCATTATGCCAAGTGACAAGTAAGCAGACCATATAGGGCAGTGTATCTCTCATATGCCAATGCACAAAGAGTGAAAGCAAATTTAAAGGCTTAGTTAACATTCGAGCCTTTGAAATTTCGGAATTATCTTTTATTCTACAAACAAATAAAGGAAGCTTTAGAAATGACAAAATTTAGACATTGGCAAAGATAAAGTCATTTCAAGAGACACTAAAAGTAAAATGAATTTCTGCACATAAATAAAGTATGACTCACAATCCCGAAAACACCACTCTTACCCTGAAATGATGCCTAGCAAGTGAGAAAACGTTCGAAAAGAAAATTTTGGGATTCTTAAGGCGGAGTCGCCACCTAGAGAATTCAGAAAGAATTAAAGTGACGAAAGAAAGTTTGAAGGTGTCCACTGGGTCCTACATAGCTTCCGATCAATAAAAATGAAGTACATTGTAATCTGTGGGTGCCACGGTCATATTAAATTAAGCTTTAGGGATTGACTTCGAGCCAATGCCCGGAAAATAGAGATAAAATTTTTAAATTTCTTCATTCACATGCGGAGGTTTTGGAGGAAAATTTAAAAATAACACTACTGTTAATTTGCTCCACTAATAATGAACTTATGATAGTGAAACATATAGCATTAGAGTCCTCAGAGCGCAAGTTGGTCAATCTAAATCAAGTCCTTGTTCCTATTTAGGTGTCCCGTTAACATAGTCCCCATACAATGCTAGCCTGAAAAACTTCACAATGTATGCAAAAAATATTGTACACTCCTTTAAAATACTCATTCACATACTCTCTGAAAACATACAATGCAAAACTAAGTGCTACAATGCTGCCAACACTGAAGGAGGCAATCTTAAAAGTGATCGACTGTGGCAACTGCTGAGTGGCATGCTGTGAATCGAATGTCCTGTCGCAGCATGTTTTCAAGCAGGATGTGCAATGCAGGCTGTAGGAACTCTGGATTTGGCTTTGGCTTTAACCTTGGCTGCCGCTTTCACAGAACTTGAGCAGGCAGAGGGCGGAGATTGTTGGGGAGGCACTGGCAATGTTTCAGGCTGCCAAACCGATTGGATGCGGCTTGAGGAGCTGCCCAGGCACTGGCGGCAGCGGAGTCCAGTCAGGAGTTTTCATGCATGCCACAAACTGTTGCACTGGTACTAAATGAAAGGTTCTCAAAACACTCAAGTAAACAATTTAGACAGCTGCCCAATCTTTCATCTCTGACCACACTTGGCCCCGGAAAAGAAACAAAACTATTGCTAAGTAAAACTATTTTAAATTTTGAAAAATGTTTTGTACCATACATTATGCTAAAAAATGCATTGCATTGCTAATACATGCAGACACATGGATAAATTAGATGTTTATCAGATATTGGATGCAAGATATCAGATATCCAATATCGGAGTTTGTTTTACCATAAATTTGTACTTCAAGATTTCCTGGAGATGTTTGTGAAAGTCTTTGGCAATGAAAACTATGTCTCTCGACTAGCAAATTAAACAGTATCCGCAGTGGCTGTCCAAAACCCAGTAATTCAGCCTAGAAGGCCACTGCATGTATTGCCATGTGCAAGGTAAAAAAAATTAAGAGATCTGCCAAAGCTTTTACAAATTACTGAGACACCTTATTTCAGTAGCTATGAAAGACCTCTGTGTGTGTATGATAATATTATTATACCTACATAGACATGTTATCACAATATCAGTCATGCGAACTTCTGTGTTCACATGTAAATCTGTACAATCAATAACAAAAGTTTCCAAACCACCTGAGCACTTGCCAAACTGCCTGTTCGCACCACCTAGCAGTGTGCCATATATCCTCTACTGCAGGGCTAGGCCGTAAACAAATCTTGTTGTCACTCAGTGGCCTTTCTATTTTCTACTGCCGTGTACAGCATTGTTAGTACCCAGTTTCCACACGAAGCAGTAATCTGAAGTATGAACATTGCATTTTTATATGACAGAAAGATCAAAGCTGTCATTGCGTCTCGAACATTGTTTTATTGTTGTTGTTCGCAAGGTATCAATTTGTGATAAACATTGCTACTGATAACAGTTATGCCAATCAACTGCTCTCAAGGCAGAAGCACACAGGAACGCAGATGCCTAAAGAGCATGTCCCGACAAAAAGTGAGAGGTGTAAATTATTTGTACCCGGTCAGAAAACGGACATTGATTGATTGATATGTGGGGCTTAACGTCCCAAAACCACCATATGATTATGAGAAACTCCGTAGCGGAGGGCTCCGAAAATATTGACCACCTGGAGTTCTTTAACGTGCACCCAAACCTGAGCCCACGGGCCTACAGCATTTCCGCCTCCATCGGAATGCAGCCGCCGCAGCCGGGATTCGTTCCCGCAACCTGCGGGTCAGCAGCCTTAGCCACTAGACCACGGCGGCGGGGTACAGAAAACAGACAGGTCATAGATTAAGGGTGGGACGCTTCTCGAGTGCTGCGAGGCTATCAACTGCCTCTGACGTAGCTGAAGTGTCGCGAGGAGGCTTACGCTTTGTGCCCCCATGGTCTGTCAACTTATGTGGTCGACTGTCCATTTATATTGCTACTCAAGAAGCCTGTATTAAAATACTGCGAGCAATCATTCTTCCATTTCAGCTTAAATATATCTACTGTGTGACCCTTCAGCAAAATCCAAAAGGAGATTGTTTTATGTCCACAATGTGTATGTGCGTGTATATATATAAATATATATATAGCTGCATTTAGGTTTATTAACGCTACGACACATTTGAATAGTTCGCTAGACCATGCATGTCCGAGTGGGCTTACGAATAAAATCATTATTTGTAGGTTTGATAGATATGCAATCTTATGAGATTAAGACAAAAATTATGGCGCACCAGAAAGCAATACTGCCTCATGTCGAACACCATGCGCGTAATTTGAGAATCATGGTTTTGATCCCCACCAAGTAGTTTTTCCATCTACTTCGGAATGAACAGAGTTTGCTCCCATGTGCCTACGGCTACTTACCATTTTGTTCTGAAGGAGCAAGTGTTGTTTCAGAGTGGAGCACAGTTGTATAGATAAACACAGCTCAAGGTGGCCTCTCATTACACCTTCTTTTACAGCTCTCCTTTCATTTCACAAATTTATGATGTTACTCCCTTGCGGGCAGCCAAACTAAGTTACTTTCCCAATCTTATATCTACTCTTTCATTGTAACCTCTCGTGAACAAACTCTACCCGTTGACCACTCACTCTTTATCGCTTCTTGTTGGCATGACGACGGGACACGTGCTGTCTGAGATCCAGATTCCGTGAGAAGGATGCGCTGCAGTGGTCACAGGAAAAAGGGCGCT